AGAATTATTAGAATTTAATTTATTACATAGATTATATGTATATCTCACATTAAATATTACCAACAAGTAAAATCTTTTCTTTCAAACAGCAATTATAAATTTCTTAGTCGCACAAATAAGTAAGATGAAAATATGTAAGTTATATACACGAATGTAAGTTACACATACAGATGTATTGTATTCTACTTATACTTCTATGCACAATTAGTTAAGTTTTTTTACAAAAATATTAAAAATCAACAGATATAGACACATGAAAAAAAACGATCCTAGAATTTAGTTTTTTTTGAAATAATTGCGACAATAATAATTATGTAATAAATAAATGATGATTATTTAAATGTCGAAAATGGTGATGTCGCTTTTTTTGTGTGATCCGATCTCAAGCGTGAAATGATTATAGAAATTCGATTATAAAGTGAAATATTATTGATTTGATAAATCAAAAGTACTATTTATATAATTTCTATCCTAAAAATATTCTTCTTTATGCAAGCGTAGAGAATTAATATAGGAATTCGTTTCACAATTTCGAATCCCACGTTACAGAATAAATTGCTGACGCGTCTCGTGGAATCGCTCCTATCAGTTTCGAGCTTTATGATATTGCATGCCGTTTATTCGTACTTAGCCTCGATCTCAAACCGAATAGCTGTAACGCAACGCGAATCTCTCTTCGTAACTTCGACCTTATTTTACGCAATTCGGACGCAATTCACCTAATCACCGACGCTCTGCTTTCTTATCGCAGATGCGGATCAACCGGAGGAGTACGACGCCCTGTGGATGTTGGAACGGAAGGCGCGCAGCATTGGTCAAGAAAGCCAGGATTCCCTTCCGTACTCGTCGTCGAAAGTACCCGATACCTTAGGATGTGGTGGCGATTATCCGGTTCAGATGTATAGCGGAGACTCCTACATGCCGATGATACAGACGATACAGACCCACTACGTTTGTACCGATTGCGGCAAGAAATATAAATGGTTAGACAGTCTGAAGAGGCATCAAAGGGTGGACTGCGGCAATAAGGAGAAAAAGTTCTCCTGTCACGTGTGTGACCGAAAGTTCAAGTATCGATATGAACTACGGAATCATATTACCGCGCATCACTGCGGGTGACTTTTTCTCGTAAAAAGTTTTCCCTTTCGAAAGTTTGCGGACTAAAAAAACGTGACCTGATTTAAAGGCCGACAGGAGTCGCGATGAAGATCTCTGTTGGAGACGAATTTCTCTCTTATTATGGCTAAAATAGTGAGAAAATCCTAATATAATTGTGATGTCTACAGATAATTTGATCTTCGGTTATATAGAAAGAGCAATTCAATGCTTTTCATTACAATATTAACTGATTTCATTACTTTTCAACAAATTTCATTACAATCTCTCAACTATTAATTCCAACATTTTAATTATCCTGTTTCCATTTTCAATAACTTTCATTAATAAATCTAAAAATATTGTATATTTTGTTCCCATTTCATTACTTTTCAGATATTCTCATTAATTTTCCTTAGAATCTATAGTATTTCAGCATATTTCAGCATATTTCAGCATATTTCAGTATACAATAAACTATAAAAGTATTATATGTTTTGCATTACTTTTCATTTTTTCATGCATTTTCAATAGTTATCTTTAAGATTCATGGTACTTTCCCATAATTCAGTGTTCAATATCTCTGAATAAATTAGTATGTACATATATTAAATATATATATATATATGTGCATTATTTTTCGTTTTTCTTTTTCAATTTTCATTAATTATCATTAAAATTTATAGTATTTCAATATTAAGTGCATTATTTTTCGTTTCTCTTCATCAATTTTCATTAATTATCATTAAAATTTATAGTATTTCAATATTAAAAGTAATATTTATGCTGAAATATTTTCGATAATATTTCTGTGATTTTTATTTCTCATTTCAACGATTTTATTGTCGATTTCAACAATTTCAGCTATTTTTTTCCACCATGGATAAAACAAGTTTCATGGCAAAATATTTCTTCTATAAGACAATACATGGTACAGTACAAATATGTATCTGCACTGCAAATAATGAGTTTTCTCGTCATTTCTGCCGGCCTTTAAGCTTTGTGACTGCGTCTCGAAGCGACGCTCAAAATATTTGTGATCGAAATTTATTAGCAATACAGCGGTAAAGATAACTTTTTTTTTAAAATGACACTCGCTCCGATAAGAGTTCTTATTTATAAGTTAGATAATAATAAATAAAAGTATTAAAAATTATTTATTTATTAATGTTATGAGAACAAACTTTCATCTTTCTATATGTTGCAGAAATAGAAGATCAAGTACGTGAATAATCATAAATTATTTCTATATTAAATTTGTTACATTTGATAACAATTGTATCTTAATCATTATAAAATTTAAAATTTATTATATATAACAATATAAGATTTAATTTAATTTTCGAAAAATCTTTGCGAAGCAATAAATTATTTTGTATTTTTATGTCATTTAATATATGTAGAAAAAAATAAATTATTATATATTAAAAATTGATCTGAATAATTAACAAAAAAATAAAGATATATAGAAAAAAATATACTGCCATATCACTTTAAAAAGAAATATTCTTTTGTTTTTTATAATAGCGTTGTTTTTTAGGGACAACTAAAACTTTATTATATTCTCCAAGTTTTATAATATCACAATTTAACTTATTTATTAATTATTTTAATTAGTAACTATATCGTCACAATATCATATATATATATATATAATATTCATTAATTTATATTGATCTCGCTATAAACATTCTATAAATAGAAGTAAATGATTATATTTAAGTTAATTATATTTTTTTAATTACATGTCCTTATTATAGACTCGACCAGATGCAATGAAACTATAGTTTCCATTAGCATTTTTAGTGCAAATAATCCAACAGACTAAAAATATTTTTAACGCAAATAAAATGTAATTTTGCTTATATATATTAAATATATCGAAAATACATTTCAGGGAAATGAGAACAAGTTTTCTCCCTCCTTATGAAAAAGAGATCCTGTAATCCTATGAAAAACCCGATCAAGGATGCCTTGTTTACAGTCGCTTTTATGGTGAATGGCTACGTGTAACTCAACTCATGCTGTGTATGTCCGTGTCTTTGTCGTAATCCCGTAATAAATAAATCCTTCTAGACTAAAGTGTGATCGCCAATCCCTATGGCAAAAGGACGCAATAATTCTGATAAAGTTTTACTGATTCTCTTGTGTGTTTTCTAGAACGCAAGCACTCGCCAGGTGATGCCATCGAATGGTACTATCAGTATCAAACAATGTACCTACGTCTGATGGCGGAAAACCAGTTGACGAAAGAGACAACAACGAGAACAACAGCAACCGAAAATCAAACAAGTGATTGTCCCGGTAATATTGCCACTAAGAAAATTCAAAATGGCCAACCATTGACAGAAGTCAGCAGCAACCAGGTAACCGCGAGTAATCGCGATTCCTATTACTATTGTCAACGTTGCGGTAATGCCTACACGAGACCGCACTCGTTAAACAGACATATGAAATTTGAGTGCGGTGTGGAGCCACAATTCGAATGTCCTATCTGCCACAAGAAGTCCAAACACAAGCATAATTTGCTGTTACATATGAGAACTCATAAAAAATCTTAGACCATTTGGTGCCATTGAATGTTATGCGAGGAGAACGCGCACTCTGAAAGTTTTAATAATCTTTGAAAATCTCTCACGCGTATTTCATAGTTCAAATTGAATTTAACGCGCATTTTGTAATTTCAATTGAATTTAAAATGTGTAAGTTACATTAAAAAATTGAAGTTTTTGGAATTTTCAAATTCTGATTCTTTTTTATTGAATAGTTCACAAAAGTATTTGTAAATACTATGTCTCAAATGAACATTTTCTAGACTTAACGTTAATTCTAATTTTGTTAATTTCTTTAGATTTTTAGATTTAAAAAAAAATACTGTAGCGCTCTGCTCGTTTCTGTTATACGTGAACATAATTTTGTGATTAATCGTAGACAATAAACATTAAAAAAATCCAAATACTAAATATAAACAAATGTAGAGTTAACTAACAATTCACAGATATAACTGATATTTTTAGCTGATTTGTATCGATACAAAGAAAACGGCACAGTTAAGCATTGTTAGTAGATCTTCATTAATTGAATTATTTATTCATTAATTGAGGAAAAAATTATATGATTTAAATATAATATTAAATATTTTATCATACAAGCAGCTTTGAACTAAGAATATATTTGACGTGTATGTATATAGCAAAGTTGTCTAAAGTGATGTCACACAAACGAGCGAACAACTGATGGAACAATTTTGGTACGTAATTATGAAGTCTCCCAAAGAATAAGATAGAAATAAGACATAAGATAGAAATCACACACATACCCACACAAGATACCTGATGTATCAAAAGGAACATTAACATATCAGTTTATAATTTTAATTTCAACTGTCAACTTGCAAGAAATAGGTACAAGAAACTCTTATTAACCCATTAAGGACCAAGACAAAATTTTTTTCTCAAAATTTAAAATCCTTTTAATAGCAAGCTACTATTCCCTTAAGGAGCCTACTTGCCAAAAATTTTCACCCTGGGGTTGGTCAATTAGGCAGGAGAGGGGGAGGTGATCGATTTTGTGACCATTGGTCCAAAGTGATATAAAAAATTGACCTAGTTTTTTGGTCGAAAAATCGACCAACGATCCTTAATGGGTTAAGATAAAACTCTTAAATTTAACCTATATTTTGTAAAACAATAACAAAGTTACCACTAGTAAATGAGATGCCTTTTTAGTTGTTCTAATTAGTCAGGTTTGCGATTTTGCGAATGTTAATAATTATAATATCTAATTAAATATTACTATAATATAATTAACAAATTATTCCATAAATGTGAGATTCAATACCAGTAAGATTATTGGTATTGTTAAAGCCAGTAATTTTTATGTACATAACGTGTTCAAATTTTAGTTTATAAATCTTATAGATATATATATAATATACGTATTATATATGTACATATTTAAATATTTTATAAATTATTATATTTTATAAATTACTCTACATAAGATTTATGTAAACAAATCGATTAATTTTTGTAATCAAATTTATATAAGTTGTATGTTTGTTAATAGCAGTCTCAGAGCAAATTTTATGTTAATGTTTATAGACTGATCCACTGCCATAATGTTTTTCTGTTCAAATAATTTTTATTGTCCAACAATGGCAGATTGATTGTGAATAATGTGTTTGAACTTAAACTGTATTTCTGCCATTAAACGTAGTATTAAGTCTATCATATTTATGTTGAGAACTAAATCCATTGTGTACAGGATGTCTATAGAAAAATATATGTCAAATGAGAATTTATTTTACTAAATTTAATAAATTTTTTTATTAATTCTACAAATGAAATATGAATGCATTTCTTTGAGACGTCTTGTATAATTACTCATGTATTTCTGATCTATTTGCTGATAATGAAAAGAATTTACTTGAAAGAATTAAAATCATTATTTATAATCAGAAATAACTGTGATTGTCGAACGTGCAAAATGCTAATGCAGCTATAACGTATGTAATGTATATGAATGAAAAACTATTTGAAAACGTGGGATAGAAAAATGTATGCTGTGTATTTCCACTGCACATTGAGTGCGACAACAGATAGTGATAAGAACATGCCTATATTTCTAGAACGTAAGAGAGTAAATAGCAGAGAGTGCCAACGAAACGAATAGTCTGAACATATATACATACGTATATGTGTATGTATGTATCATATGTATATATAATAATATTATACATAATATATAAATAATAATATATATATTATATACATATATATATATATATATATGTATGAATAGTCTATACATAGGAGAGAGTCTATGACATGCGATGCATGTAATGAGCTCTCTTTGTCAGATATATGCGTATAGAGACTTAAAATTTATGTATACACGCGAATATACATATCTTTGCATATATTATGTAACTGCAGCAAAAATAAACACGCATATTTTGTGATCCAGAATTTGGTTAATATTTAGACATGACCCTACACACTAACTTCCCTCCGCTACATTTTATTATTATTTGATAACTTATGTGTATGAATGTCAATCTTCGAATTTTTTTTACGAATTAACCGCTAATGCGTGATTCTTTTGCAAAACTTTTTTGGAGTAGTTACGATAGTTCACAATCGATACTATCAATTATGTGATCATCATAATAGTCTTTTAATATTATTATTATTATGTGCATTATATAAATGAGAACGTAGGTAATTAAAAATTAAATGCATGCAGCAATAATATCTGTATTAAAAGTAATAATAATATCTTAAATCGGAGATGGACCAAATTTGCGATTGTGATATGAAAGAAATATTTAAAATACGTATTATATGTATAAGAACGGGATATTTTTATATTTAAATTCGAATGTTAAAATGTAACAAACAGATACCGAATTTCTTTCTTAATGAATGCTGGACAATATAAAAATGTTTAAAATAAGCATGAAATATTATAGTCAACAAAACTTGTAAAATATAACAAATAAAAAGATATACTTAAATCGAGAACTCTGACAATAGTTTGTCTATCTCCGATGTAGATAATATCAAACATATTTATTTTAGAGATACATTTTTGTTGTAAAAATGCCATGCAATACGTAGCATAATACAGATTATCACACAAAAGGATCAATGGCAATAATAAATAAATAACGTTCATAAAGAACACTTTGAAAATGTATATAATTTAGAGAAAAAAAAACAGACGTCGCGACGCAGAACCAAGCGTACGTACGCAAACGGAATGAGATCTATTTGTCAAAAAGAGAAATCTATGTGTGATAATCACTCTGACTTGCGGCATGACTCGCTATACACACATTCGGTGTTTTTGTTGCGTTATTTAGCCGCCTAATGCTTCTCTAGTTTGCATACGTTGACTCGCAAGAGCGAGCGAGCGAGCGAGCGAGCGAGAGAGAGAGAGAGAGAGAGAGAGAGAGGGGGGGGAGATTGCGTATAAATCTTATTGTATCCTTTCCGACGAATGTTACAGTTTGGAAGAGATTGAAGGACGCGGAGGACGGACCACCATTTCTTTGTCCGAAATGCGGCCGCACTTACTCGCACAAGTGTAACTTGACGAGGCATTTGCGCCTCGAGTGCGGTGTCGGGCCCAGATTTCAGTGCGGAAGTTGCAAGAAGCGATTCAAGCACCGTCACCATCTGCGGGACCACCAGAGAATCCATCTCTACGCAAATTGTGGCTACGAGCAAAACTGAAACGTCATCCTCTCAATTAAAAATCGCTTCCGCCTCCAGTTCCTTATCGGTTTCTTTACTTGTTTGTTTATCGGATTATTTATTTACCAGTTAATCGATGCAATCTGTGATCCTTTGAGTACCAAAAAGTACTGAAAGCAATTATTTTTCATACTTCTACACTATAAGCATGTCTAATGGAATAATGCAACTTTAAAACGTTATTTACAATTCTTCAAATACAATTAACAATTTTATTAGGCATGTACAGTCGTTATGTGTAAAAGGATTTGGATATGAGCGAATTGCTGCTAAATAAAGATTTTGCAGTACTAGCAGGATTAAACTTCGTATAGTATTATATCTGATATTATTCTGTAAAGCGTAAGCGACATTATTAAGCTATTGTCGACAGAGAAATCTAATCTCTCGAATTCAAAGTACCTAAATTCCATTACGAGATTCACTAAAAACGTTGATCTGTTAGAAATATAAATGTACAGCCGATTTGAGAAATACCATAGATAACAAACACTAACAGTGTAAAGAAACAAGCGCCATTAAGAATACTTCGGAATATACACGGCATGTATACTTAGATATCACTATTAATATTAATTATGACTATTTAAGGTGCGTTCGGAGAGCCGCTATTAGCGCTATTTGTGTCATTCTATCCTTGTTTTACGTCTAATAAACAATGAAGATAGAATGACAGAAATAGCGCTAATAGTGTCTCCTTAACCGTACCATTAGTGTACAGTCCTGAAATCATGACTTTTTGAGAACATCAAAGGTATTGTGGAACATTTAACACAGATGTTAATGAAGTACGAGTATAACTTCGGGATTATTGTATTTTCAATGTTCGTGACGCGTGTTATTGTCAAATTTCGTGCCAAAAGAAGACAGTAGTAATTTATAGCGGGTTTTATACGATGTTGCATAGTATCCAGAAGATACTTGGATACCAATACTCATCGTGTAATAGCCATATTTAAATACAATCCAAGGACAACAAGAAAGTCATATTAGTTAATCATGAAAGAATGATAATTTCGGTCAATAATCAGTCAATATGACATAAAATTGAGATTATTTTAACTTTTTTGTTCTCTTTGGAAAGTATCCAATATAACAACGAGCTGATGTATCCATAATTTTAGATACTTAAGATACTTATCGTACCAAATGTACATAAAAACAGATGGCCATAATTAAATCCGTCTCAATTTTTGAGAGGAAAACTCTATGTAATAATTAAACGTGGAGAAATTGGTCTATTATGAAAATAGTGTAGAAAAACAAAATTCTTTGGAAAAAATATATGGAAACGAAATTGTAAGATGATTTGAATTTGCTTCTATTATTTTTTGC